ATAGATAGATAGATAGATAGATAGATAGATAGATAGATAGATAGATAGATAGATAGATAGATAGATAGATAGATAGATAGATGATTTCTACATCTATAACAGCTCCAGACCCAGCACAACCCTGAATAGGATATGCGGGTACACAAAATGGATGGATGGATGTGATTGAAGCCATGACTGGGCAAACCAGACTGCGATACAATAGCAAAACAGTGGCATTGGGAAAACAGAAAGAGTGGAAGCGTTAGGAAAAGCACAGGAGAAAACAAATATCTGAGAGCCAAATATCAATGATGCCATTGTTGCAGTCCTCTACTGCCACCAGTTGAAAGCCTGAAGCTGGCAGTGTGCTACACTGCCCCCTGCTGGCTCCTTCAAGCAGCCCCGCTGGCATTCCTTTCAGGTCAGGTGGAGGCATGTTCAGCAGCTGGGATGCAGTGCAAAATGCATAATTTTGGAAAAGCTCTGTGAAGATAAAGTCTTCATGATTACACATGACCTGACAAATCTGGTTATCTTCACTGCATTCATACTTTACTTCTAAGTCATCACTTTTTTTTTTTATCTCCAGAATTGTTTCTTGCATCCCAAAGAAGAAAAAAAGCAAACACTGAAGACAGGGGTCCATCTCTCCCCACCCACCCGCAGATAAGATGAAGACGAGACAGGTCATCAAAGACAAACCTCCTGACTTTCTTCCCAGCACGGTCTCATGCCACACACAGTCGGTCACAGAGCTGAGCGACGCCCCAGAGTCTGTGATGTCATACGTCAGGCAGCCATGCAGATAAAATCAAGGACCAATTACAGGTTATTTTCCTCTTCATTCTGTTCTCATTCATTAACACTAAGTACATCTCTGGAAAAAATTAAGAAACCACAGTAAAATTTTCAGTTGCACTCATTTCTCAATTTATGGGTATGCACCTGTGTAAAATATATTTTTTTTGTTTCTTTTTTTGCAAACCCACTGCATCTCCTCTCATTCCGTGCTTTATGGGACTTCAGTCCTGCTTCTAGGAGCCTGATACAAACTGTCCTAGCAGATCACTTCACACCGGAACTTAATATTTCCCATTCCCTTTGAAGATCAACTGATGTCTTCTTCCGATTTATGAGGCCCTGTTGGATAAGTTAACAGTCATCTCTGGTATTAGAAAGTCACTTCTGCCCTTTACTCTGTTTTCAATATCTCCTGCTTTACGTTGTTCTTGTCTACAATGGGATTAGACATTTTGAGCCTGGAAGCTGCCTGCTGTGTAGTGCAGCCGTCTACCATCGGAATGAAACCAGGATATAAAAACGCAGATTCTTAAAAATATGGTGCGGTCTCTTAATTTTTTTCCAGAGCTGTATAAACACAAGGCATCATCATTTGTTAGCTGGTTCCAGGAGGGTCTTTGCATCATTCGCATTAACAAATCGTAGGAGGAAAAACTATGGGGGGGTTGGAGAAAATGAAATGGGGAGATGTAAGAGTAAAAGCAAGAAGAATAAGTACATTTCCAGAAATGGACTTCATGCTTTGTTATTTTGGGAGAGTTTGCATTAGCAAAGCTTTGTGATGTCAAGGACATCTCAGCAAAAAAGGATTCAAACCTGAAGTAGGATATAAGTGTGTAGAGATCAGCTTGTGGTTTTTCTTGGAAACAAATAATGGTGATTAAAGGGCAATAATAGCAAACCACAGCCCAGACAGGGCAACAGCACTGACTCCAGCCGTAGGTCTTTATATATCAAGCCTGAGAGTCCTGGGATTAAGTGTAACAGCTTAAGAGGTGACAAGTTGCCCATGTCTCACCCCAGTGCCAAGCTCATTCATTTTCCCCCATCCTTCTGTCTTTTTCCATCTAAGTTGTGTGATACTTCAGCATGAAGGCCACATTTAGCAGATGCTTTTATCTAAAGCGATGTACAAGTTGAGAAGGTGGGCTCTGACAGTCTATGAAGCAATTGGGGGATAGGGGCCTTGCTTAGGGACCCAGCAGTGAAATCATTCTGTCAATCCTGGGATTTGCACAAGTGACCTCCTGATCACTGGCACGCTGTCCTAGCCCGCTGAGTCTGATGAAGGTATTTAAACCTGGACACACTGTACCGTGGCCTCAAACTCTGTGGTCCTCTTTACATCCAGTGCTTCCATTAGCTGCAGTGCAATGGCAGGCCGTGAGTAATTAATGGCACTCGTCTGAGTGGGGAGCACACTAACGAGCCGATATATGTTCCGTACTCTCCAGAAAAGCGGCTTCATCGTTTAATTGGACCAGCTGCTTATGTAAATCAGACACCCATTGGTGGTGAATTACCAGCAATGATGGCCAGTCAGGCACAATCAGAATCAATCAAGACCAGCTTATTCCCAGCTCTTTAGCTCATGCCAGAACTAATGTCTTGCTCATTAACTGGAGATATGGAATAATAAAGGAATGGTGAACATGTACATATTATTACTGAATAATACGTTTTTCTTCCCATTAGATTCTTTTTTATATTGGCCTGTCGTTCGGGCTGCTATTTCCTCGTATATCCAGGGTTGACCCGGCACTGAGGGAGTGGTCTATGTGCCCCTCTCTCCACACCCCCCACCAGGGCTGTGCCATTATGGCACTAAATACACCTCTTATTTCCCTCACCTTATTTCTGCACCAAAGTCTTAGGAGGTGGTGTTTGTGGGTTAGAACTTGGCATCTTATATCAGAAGGTCACTGGTTCAAATCCCAGTCAGTAGAGTTATTTCACCATTGAGTCCTTTAGCAAGGCCCTCAATCCCAATCGCTCCAAGAACTTACTGGTCCTGCTTTCTCAATTTAGCATCACTGTGGAGGAAAGACTGCTAAACAGATGCAATTTAAATCCTTCAGGAAGCAAAACACAGTGGGACGGGACATAGCTGCCTTTGTGAGAGCTAGTGAAATTGTGACTCAGAATCAGGGTGAAGAGGATGACTTGTTTATCATAGCTCTTACGAAAAAGATATGTGATATGATGGATTGTTATGAGGTCCCCCCTGAATCCGCCAGGCTCCCCATGCCCCTCCAAAGCCCCTGGCCACAGTGCTACCCCCAGAGCCATGCACATACAGTATATAGTATTAACAATGAGAATATGGAAATAAATCAAAATAATAATAATAATTATAATAATG